ACCGAAGTTAAATTTTTGCCAAAACTTAAAAGTTAAACCGTCTAATAAGACAAACTGAAAAAAAAATGCTGAAAACCCGAACCAACCATCGGAACCAACCATCCTACTAGACCAAAAATGACCTTCTGAAGCTAATGATGCTGATGAAATTTTAATTTGAGCAAGTTTATCAAAAAAATTGATCAAATTTAAATTTTGGCCAAAACTTAAAAGTTAAAACGCCTAACAACACAAAATGAAAATGGAAAAGCCTCAAAACCTGAACTAACCATCCTATTGGAGGAAAAATGACCTTCCGAAGCTAACTGCACTAACGAAATTCTCATTTGAGCATGTTTACAAAAAATGTTAACCAAAGTCAAATTTTGGCCAAAAGTTAAAAGTTAAAATGCCTAACGACATAAACTGAAAATGAAAACCTCAAAACCGGAACAAACCATCCTATTAGACAAGAAATGACATTCTAGACACAACTACACTAATGGAATTCTCATTTGACCACGTTTACCAAATCTAAATTTTTGCCAAAACTTAAAAGTTAAACCGTCTAATAAGACAAACTGAAAAAAAAATGCTGAAAACCCGAACCAACCATCGTACTAGACCAAAAATGACCTTCCAAAGCTAACCGCGCTGGTGAAAATTTAATCTTAGCACATTTACCAAGAATATTGACCAAATCTAAATTTTGGCTAAAATTGAAAAAAAAATATTGACCAAAGTCAAATTTTGGCCAAAAGTTAAAAATTAAAACGCCTATTAGAACAAACTAAAAGCAAACCCTCAAAACCAAACGAACAATCCTATTAGAAAAAAAAATCTTCTAGATACACTATGCTGACATAAATCTTATCTGACCAGGTTTACCAAATATATTGAACGAAGTTAAATTTTTGCCAAAACATAAAAGTTAAAATGCCTAACGGCATAAACTGGAAATGAAAGCCTCAAAACTCGAACCAACAATCATATTAGATCAAAAATGAAATTTCAAAGCTAAGCCCTTTGATGCATTTCTCATCTCGGCATGTTTGCAAAAAATGTTAAGCAAAGTCAAATTTTGGCCAAAAGTTAAAAGTTAAAACGCCTAACGGCACAAACTGAATATCAAAGCCTCAAAAACCAAACCAACCATCCTACTAGACCAAAACCTTCTGTAGCTAACGATGCTGATGAAATTTTAATCTGAGCACGTTTATCAAAAATATTGACCAAATTTAAATTTTGGCCAAAACTTAAGAGTTAGAACGCCTAACAACATAAACTGAAAATAGAAGCCTCAAAACCCGAACCAACCATCCTACTAGACAAAAAATGACCTTCCAAAGCTAACCACACTGATGGAATTTTACTATTAGCACATTTACCAAAAAAATTGAGCAAATCTAAAATTTGGCCAAAATTTAAAAGTTAAAACGCCTAACAGCACAAACTAAAAATGGAAGCCTCAAAACCTAAACCAACCATCCTATTGGATTAAAAATGACCTTTCGAAGCTAACAACGCCGACGAAATTCTCATCTGACCACATTTACAAAAATGTCAAGCAAAATCAATTTTTTGTCCAAAAGTTAAAAGTTAAAATGCCTAACGGCACTAACTGAAAATGAAAACCTCGAAACCCGAACAAACCATTCTATTAGATAAAAAATGGTGTTCCATAAAGCTAATCACACTATGGAATTCTAATCCGAGCATGTTTACCAAAAATATTAACCAAAGTCAAATTTTGGCTAAACCTTAAAAGATATTGAGCAAAGTCATTTTTGGTCATCGCGGTTAATTAGCTTTCTCATCATCACTGACACCTTTAAATACTCCATTTTCTCAGATTCATAATCAGATAAGGCATCATCATTAATTTGTTCATCTCAATGAGCGTCCATATTCTTAACCATATTTTCATCTTCTTCATCGTTAGTGCGCTGAAAAAAAATTCATCTTTAGCTTCTTCAAGATTTTAATCTAATATTTACTTTTGTTTTCAACACTAGATGATGATTTACCAAACAATTTAACTTCTCAATTGGTAAATTTTACCAACTATTCAAATATCAGTTAGTAATTTAAATAATTTACCGATAAATTTTATCACAGTTGGTAATAGTTACTATCCAACTAAACATTCATGTGTAATATTACCAACTAAAAATTAATATGTTGGTAAATATTACCCAATGGATTAATGATCGGTTGGTATATTACCTACTATTTTAATTGTGTTAGTAATTTACAAACTACAATCTTTATTCGTCGGCAAAATTTCCAACTAATTAGATATTTGTTGGCAAGTTTACCAACAAATTACATTTCGTTACTAATTTACCAACACATTTATATTTGGTTGGTAATTTAGCAACAAAATAGTGTCGTTGGTAAATTGTTTGTTAGTAATTCATTGGTAATTTGTTAATAAATTATATAAACAATTTTTTTGTCATATTTACCAACCGATATATACTTCGTTGGTAATATTACTAACAAAAGAAGTGCGTTAGTAATATTTTAGTTGGTAATCCATTAATAAAAAGTTGCTAAATTTGGCGCCATTTTTTCCCGCCGTATTTACCAACTAAAATATTTTGTTGGTAATATTTTGGTTGGTAATCTGTTAGAATTTCGTTGTAGTGTCTCACATACCACATGGTCGATCATCTTGGTTCCTTATGAATTGCAATGATGGTTGTGGATGAAACAACAATATTCGATATTATCAATGATTATTGATGGCCCTCGTGCACTAGGTAATGATATTGATCTCTTTATATGACTCTTAGTTGATGAGTTATAAGAATTATGGATTGGTTTTTCCACTTATGATGCATCAAACAATAACATATTTCAAATGTGTGCATCATTTCTTTGGACAGCCAATGATTTTTCAAGTACTAGGTAACATATCAGGCTATGGTTTGAAAAAAATGTATGATTGTCCATGTCAGCTTATACTAAGTTTAGAAGACATTTAAAAAATGGATGGAAGTATTGTTTCATGACTCATAGGTGATGGTTACCTCATAGTCAAAAGTTTCAAAAATATAAAGTTACGTTCAATTGGCTTGTGGATTTGTTGGTTGCACCTAAATGACTGTCAGGTATTGAGATTCTTAATAAAATGAAAAATATTAGAAATAAATTTGGAAAAGATCCATTAGAAAAATCTCGTAAAAGGAAATGGGGGGGGGGGGGGGGGGAGGGGATATTGATGATGTTGGTAATGT